CCAATGTCATAAAACAGCATGTGTGTTACTGTTACATGAGAAACTATCTGTTCTGTAAGCCTTCACCTGAAGTACAATAAAATATTAAAAAAAAAAAAAAAGAAAAGATATAGTCTCACTTCTGACCAAGGTGGATAAGCTGGGACAGTCTGAAATCCCCACTGAGTGAGGACCTTGACCATGTTTATTCTAAGGCAATCCCATGGATACCCACCAATAAGGAAACCAAGATATCTGCCTTCTTAAGAGAATGCGCATGACATTAAAGTCGCTGCTCCTACCTGGCTGTATGGGATCTTGCAGTTCAAGGACCTATCACTGTCTGATTGGAATTATGTGTCTCTTAGTTCCCGTGTTAAAAGGCAGAAGCTGGATGGCTCATGGATTGAAACTATGGTGGTTCCTGGGCCAGAAACCAATTGATCAGTATCCAGTCAGCAGTGGCCTGGTGGGGGTGGGGCATGGGGGTCACATGGCATAGGTATGGCTGCTTAGACTGTCTCTTTCTTCAGGTGAGGTTGTGGGTGATTAGAGTCGCTAAGGAAGGACAAGAGCTTGGCAGCCACAGCAAATGTATCCACTACAAATCCCCCCACCCAATTTTGGATTTCGCTAGCTTCCTCTGACACATCATTTACAGAGTTCTGCAAATCTCATTTATTCTAGAACATTCCCAGATGGACCAGAAGAAAACTGACCCATTGTCATTATCTTCTTTTTCCTCCTGAATCAAATTTTAAGTGTTACTCAGAAACTTGCTGATATGGAAATTCCATCTTGCAAAACAAAGTCTCTTGTGGTTAATTAAACAATTGTCTCCCATTTATCTTCTCAACTAGTCTCAGTTTTCATAGAATGGGCTTGTGCAAAGCGGGGCACACCCTTGTGGGTATTTCTGGGGCAACAATGTGTCACGGATGGAACAAGCCAATTAATTACAGAAGAGTTAATGGCCTTGTCCAGGTTAATAGTCAAACCAAGAGCCACTTGCTGAGTCTTCAGCTCTTCATTAACTCAGATCCCAGTTGTAACTTTCCACTAGGGCTGTGTGTTCTGATTTTCCTTAATGCGCCAGATAGAAGCAGAGGAACAGTAAAGACTGTAAACACTCTGTCAGGGCATGAAGAATAACAACAATAAGGCACTCATATTAGGAGAGAAGATTCATTTATCACAGTCTGTTTACCCTCTCAACAACCCAGTAGATTGGGTATCCCTGTCTCTGGGGAAGCAACTTGCATAAAGAAATAGGATTGCTGTAGAAAGAAGGTGAGCTTTGCAGTTATACAGGCCTCATTCCAAATCCTGGCCAAGGCCCTTCACTGCTCTGATGGAACAAACCTGTATGGCAGCCCTGATGGATCAGTACCCATGCCCTACCCCTAGTTAGAGCATTTGAATGTCAATCTGCTTCTCTGGTCCTCAATTTCTCTTTTGAAAAATGGGAGACTAATAATACTTCTCAGGATGATTGTGAAGAATACATGAGATGAAATACGTGGAAGTGCCCTGTATACAGTAGGTGCTCATTATGTTTACTTCTTTCCCACTGTAACTGGCTTTTTCTAGGTTTGGGCTGATCTTCTATTAAGGCTTCTCAAACGAGTGTCATGATAACCAGTTTCAATACAAAGAGAGCTAACGAGAAAGCCAAGCTTGCTTCAATCTCCTGAGAAAAAATTCTTCTTAGGTCCGTTTTGCCTCTGACTTGGATCATATCATCCTTTCCAGACTTTACTCCACTGTGACAGAGGCTTCTGATGGTCCCCTAATATCTATCTTCCCTCAATTCTATAGTGATAAGACCCCCCAAGACACACACCAAGTTTAACCTGAATATATGACCAACTAGAGAGAGAGGGAGCCCTGGTGGTGCAGTGGTTAAGGACTCGGCTCCTAACCAAAAAGTCAGCAGTTTGAATCCACCAGCCACTCCTTGGAAACCCTATGGGGCAGTTCTACTCTGTCTGATATGGTCTCTGTGAGATGGAATTGACTCGACAGTAATGGGTTTGATTTTTGTTTCGGTTGAGAGTGAGACTACATTTCCCAGTATCCCTTGCAGCTAGGCATGACCATGTGACCAAGTTCTCACCAATGGGATGTGAGAGGAAGTGAGCTGTGCCATTACCAATCTGACCCTTAAAACCATTGAATTTCTCTTTCCCCTTCCTACTGGCTGGAATGTGGACATGGAGTTGGTGAGCGAGATTTGACCACACTCTGAGCAACAAGACAGAAGGAACCTAGGTCCCTGGACAACCTCATGCAGCAGAGCAGTCCTGGATCATCGCCTACCTCCAGACAGTTACATAAGAAAGAAGTATATGTCAATCTTGTCTCTAAAACTGTATTTGGGGTTCTCTTTATTATACCTATTGAGTCTATTCCCTAACTCATACATGTGCCTTCCCTTATCAGAATTCATCTTGGGGCTTGCCTTGAGTGAAAACAGTCTGGAGCCAAGATCAACCATCAGGGTGGATCAGATTTCATAATCTGGCTGCCTGCAGGCCAGATCCAGCCCAGAGACATGTTTTATTTGGCCCATACAGTATATTTTTAAAAATTTGCATTCGTTGTCAACATTTACAAATAGAGAAATTTCACATAAAAATCTGAATTTCTAGCTTCTCTTGAGAAATTAGAAGATCTGGCAGCCCTGGGCCCACATTCTTGCTTGGCAAACTTCAGCTGACACTAACTAGTCATCACCCCCTCTTGATGAGGCACTCAGGCTCCAGCTGACCGGGGTCAGTGACTGTGGCAGATGCTCTTGGTGCCCTCGGGTTTTACCGTTTCCTTGTTCCAACAGCCTGACTGCCAATCCCCAGAACTGTGTTCCTTTGCCCAAGGGTTTTCTTTAGCCCTAAAGGCTGCTCTGCCCACAAGCATGGCAGGCCAGAAAAGCCAGAGAATTAAATCACTACCACTCACAGCAGCCCCTACCAATGAGAGCTGATGTATAAACACCCCAGCTCCCCATCCCTAGGATGGGGTACTCTGAAGCACACCTTTTATACTGGCTCCCAGAGTTTGGCTTCCAGTTGTCCACAGTGGTAAATGGCTCCATAATACACCCTTTATCTCCTTCTTTCCCTTCCCTGTCCTGGGTCACATTCCCTTCCCACACTTCCCAGGATCACCTTCTAAACAAATTACCTGCCTTCAAACCCTAGTCTCAGTGTCTACTTCCGCGGAGCCCAACCTAAGTCACCACCACTCCCTTTAGTCTTCCCACATGACAGGTGCCATTTATCATTATGTATTTTCTTCTTCTGTCGTTTAGCAGCCAACAAGTCAGCACCCAACGTATGGCGACCCCATATACAATGGGATTGAAAACCATAGAGTTTTTATTGGCTGATTTTTCGGAAGTAGATCTTCAAGCCTCTCTTCCTAGTCTGTCTTAGTCTAGAAACTCCACTGAAACCTGCTCAGCATCACAGCAACACACAAGCCTCCACTGACAGACAGGTGGTGGCTACACTTGAGGTGCATTGGCCAGGAATCGAACCTGGGTCTCCTGCAGCAAAGGCGAGAATTCTACCACTGAACCACCACTGCCTCTGTGTTTTCTTCTAGTAGAGAAATATTTATCGGTATTTATTCTTTACTAAAAATGAGGGGGGAAAGTAGAAAGATAGACCAAAAGGATAATGTGTTTCAGAAAAAAAAAGGGGAGAGTATATACCTTTGTGGTAGTAAAGAATATTCTTACATGTTTAATGTGCAAAAACTGGTTGGCTTAGTTCATTTACATTATCCGCCTGACCCCATGGCCACTTCTATTTGAGATTGCTGGTTTACAGTACTGCAACTCTTGTTAAAATTCAAGAGTCATTAACCCCTGACTTTGAATGAGGTTCTGAGATTAGCTAGGCGGCCATCTGGTAGCAAATTGAGGAAGGAGCAGGAAGACAAAATAAGTCTCAACGGGAGGAAGGACCAAAGGAAATCTTGGCACCTGGGCCAGGTGAAGGGGCACGAGGTGGTATCACGGTACTGGCCCTGAAGGGGAAGCAAGGAACATAAACCTGACCTTTTCCCTGCTCCCCTTATATTGACACACTTTCTGCAAATTCCTGATCACAAAGGAATTCCTGAAGGGCAGATGCTATACCTATTCTGCTCTTTATCCTCAATGCCTAATAGAGTTTTGTCTTGAATTTCTGTGGACCACCCTGGCCCTCCAGTGAGCAGGTCAGAATTGCTATGTAAGCCAGGGGGCGCTGTAGTTCAATGTTCATATCCTGGTTTGGGAGCTGAAAATATTTTTTAGCTGTTTGCTGCAGTGCTTAGCACTGGTGGCACAGTGGTTAAGAGCTCAGCTGCTTATTAAAAAGGTCAGCAGTTCGAATTCACCAGCCACTCCCTGGAAACCCTGTGGGACAGTTCTCTGTCCTATAGGGTCGCTGTGAGTCGGAATTGACCGGATGGCAATGGGTTTGGTTTGGTTTACAGAGATTAAGAGCACATTAGCTGGTCCCACACCACTTAAGAGTCAGGAACAGCAGGCTTCTTGGAAAATGAGCTGTCTCTTCTTGGTTTACAGTCACTCAGTACCGAATGAGGGCTCTGGAGTCAGACTGCCTAGGTTCAAATCCCAGCTCCTTCACTTACTAGCTGTGTGACCTTGGGCAAGTCACTTAACCTCTCTCTGCCTCCATATTAAAATAATAATAATAATAATCAGCTGCTGTCAAGGCAATTCTGATTCATGGTGATCCCACGTGCTTTAGAGTAGAACTGCTCCACAGGGGTTTCATGGCTGTGACCTAGTCAAAGCAGGTTGCCAGGCCTTTCTTTTGAGGTGTCTCTGGGTTGCTATGAAACACCAACCTTTCTGTTAGCAGCCCAGTGCTTAACCATTTGCACCACCCAGGGACTTCTGCCTCCAAAAGAGATGAGAATTAAATGAGCTAATGCACATAAAGTGCTTTGCACTGTGCCTGTACAGAATAAGTGCTTAAAACATGTTAGCAATTATTGGCTCTGGTTGAGGAAAACAGGATCCTACCAGAAGAAAGCCAGAATAGAAAGTTATCTAGAAGGATATGCATCAAAATATTACCGGCGATTGTATCTCAGTGATCACTTTTTATTGTCTCTTTTTTGCTTATTTGTAATTTCTGATTTTTTTTTTTTTTTTTACAACGAAGTTATGTTACCTCAATAATTTTAAAAGCCATAAGAGTAAAAAAGGAAAAGAAAAAGAAAGCTGGGCTGCAGCAGGCCTTGTGAGCTACTCCCCACTCGTACTCAAAGGAGATTGAGTCTGGGCTCCTCTGAAGGCTCCACAGGGCCCGGCTTTGCATGCTGCTTCTTGGGGTTCACGTGCCATGAGGTTTCCAGTCTTTCTTCAGATCAGCAGAGGGGGGTGCCTTGAACAGAAGTTTTCTGTGTTCCTAATGGTCTGTGGCATCCCAAGAATTCACATCACAAGGTCCTAAGTCATCCTCGCTCCACACCGAGCAAGTCTACGATTCTGTTCAACACCCTCTTTGTAGTTGGCCATGCGAGCGGCTTACAGACTGTTCTTGGAATCCGACACCTCTCTATGGCTCAGTGTAGAGAGGAGCTGGCAGACTTTCCTACCAGCAGGTAAAGAAGTTCACTCAGTCAGTCTATGGCTATTTAATGAGCCTTTTATGCACCAGGCCCTGAACTGCGAGCTGGGCTACTATGAGGATCGAATGAGATAATGCTCAGCAATGTGGACCTGGGATTGCGTGAGGGTGGTCTGCCATTTGCCCCTCCAGATTATTCCCTGCCCTTCTCCACCCTGGTCTGCTGACCTGTGAGGGCCATGTCAATGTGCCCCCCTATGCTTTGGCTTCCCAATGAAGAGCCCTGGCAGGAAATCAGAGGAAGGGAGGAGGGTAAGACTGGGGTATTTATCCTCCGGCTCCCTCCCTGTGGAGTTGCCTCATGCTGGACCTGCCCTGCTACCAAAGCTATCAAAGCTCACTGACACTCTCAAGGTGGCCTTCCCTACATGACCCCTTCCTCCTATTTCTAGCATGTGCTCCCTTTAGCTGTATCCTCCTGGAATGATCCTAATTTGAGTGTGAAATCTGCCTCCTGTTGGGACTCTGCCAGAAATAGGTACCATTATTAACTCCCATTCTACAGATGAGAAAACTGAGGGTCAAAGAGACAAGCTTATCCGAGGAAGCTAAGGAGTAGAGGAGACAGCACTGAAACCCAAGAAGTTCAGTGTGGTGAGTAAATCGTTCAAGCCCTAAAGTGGTATCTTAGGGATTTGGGACTTGACCTTCTTAGGATGCCACTTCTCTCTGCTGATGCTCCCTTGTGGCTCTTGGGGCAACACAGGCCTCTTGATTGAAAGGATCCTGCTGTGGGCAGGATGAGGGCTTTGCAGGGGGCATTAGGGAGAAATGCTGGCTCCTTTGTGGGGCTCACATATTGTTGGGATTTTTTCACCAACAAGTGAAACCAAGTTCAGGGGCAAACTTAGGTGCCTGCTCAAGGCAAAAGGTCACAGGGTTCATTTGTTGGCTTTGAGTCTCAGCAACTGAGGCCACCCTAGTGTGGGAGCGCTCCCTGTGAGAACTCGGGGTGGCTGGGAGGGTCCAAAGTCTCTCTACCTTGGTGATACCACATTTCTCCAGCCTCTGTCTCCCCTAATACCCTCCTTTCCCTGACCCCAATTCTTATTTCTCATGCTCTATCTTCTCCAGGTCCAGCCCACCATCCAGGAATGCAATCTGATAAACCAATTCAAACTAAGAGTTACTGTATTCACCCACTACACATATATACACACACACAGACACAGACGCACGCAGACACATGCTATTCTCCTTCCATTCAAAAGAATAACTTACAGCAATGCTTGAAGCAGAAGAATGGATGGCTAATTGTGAGATTTTAGGCATGGGGGCCCTGAAGACATTCGGCATCCTACAAACATGAGTGAATGACCACACCACCTACTCCAATCTGGGGTGATTTTAAAAGTGAAAGGAGACACTATAAATAACTAAGTCAAGACAGCTGGAGTGAACAGGCAAACCGTGACATAGGTCCAGCGTGCCTGTGGGTGTTGGAGATGACCTTTCCTCTTGTCCCAGCACTGTGGCCAGAGCCCCAAAGCTGGACATTAGTCACTAAGAACCCTCAAATTCCAAAGCAGTGCTTTAGACTTCTCTTGTGCTGTGGTCCCCTTTGCCATCTGGGGAAGCAATGGACCCCTTTTCCAAATAATAGTTTGAAGTGCACAAAATAAATACACAGGATTACAGAAAAATCCAGCTATATGGTTATCAAAATATTAAATTATGATATAGTCATCCTTGTGCTTCTTTATGAACACATTAAATAACAAGATCTAACAGCAGGTTTCATTACTACTGTAATTTTTTAAGTAGAGACGAGCATAAAATGTCATTTTGAGATATCTGCAACAACAGTAGTGTGATATGAAAACATCTCTGATTTTGATGGGTGGCAAAGTCATAAGAATTACTAATACTGTAATGAGGCCTGATGCCCACTTATTAAAAAAAAAAAAAAGTTTATTGTACTTTAGGTGAAGATTTACAGAACAAATAGTTTCTCATTAAACAGTCAGTACACATATTGTTTTAAGACATTGGTTAACAACCCCACGACATGTCAACCCTCTCCCTTCTCGACCTTGGAGGACCTTTTTTTTTTTTTTTGGTGGAAATATACATAGCCAAAGATACACCATTTCAAAGACTTCTACATGTACAATTCAGTGACATCGATTACATTCTTCCAGTTGTGCTGCTATTCTCACTAGCCTTTTCCACAGTATTCCATCACCATTGTCTTCAACTCACTGTCCCCTTGATGCCTACATTTTTAACAGAAAGAAATGCCAACTTCCAGCTAGAGATCGTTGTCATTACTAACTGCTGTCAAGTCGCCCCTGACTCATGGCAAGCCCGTGTGTTACAGAGTAGAACTGCTCCATAGGGTTTTCCAGGCTGTAATCTTTACAGAAGCAGTTTGCCAGGACTTTCTTACAGGGAGCATTTGGGTGGGTTCAAACTGCTAACCTCTGGGTTAGCAGCTGATAGCAAACTGCCTGCACCACCAAGGCTCCTAGCTAGAGAGAGCTAACCCCAAAATCCACTGCTGTTGAGTTGATTCCAACTCATAGCAACCCTATAAGATAGAGTAGAACTGTCCTATAAGGTTTCCAAGGCTGTAAATCTTTACAGAAGCAGACTGCCACATCTTTCTCCGGCAGAGCGGCTGGTGGGTTCGAACCACAGACCTTTCGGTTAGCATCCAAGCTCTTTAACCACTGAGTCACCAGGGCTCCGTTAGAGATAGCTAGAGATTTTCCTGTGAAGGTCACAGACCCAAGTAAGAACCCCTTTCCTACGGGGCGCCACTAAGAGGCCAGGAGTGCATCTGGGGCATATAAAGAGGTGGCCACATTTCCTTTCAGGGGAAAGGAAATGCTTCTCCATCCTCTGAGTCAAGGCAGGAAGGCTCCTGGTGAGTAACTTGTTGAGACTGGGGTACCCGCAAGAAGGGGAGCATCTCACTTCCTGGCTGGCCTCCCA